ATACCTCTCAGGATTGAGGGCTCTCCTTTTTTGTCTATACGGGGCAACATTAGGATCAATTTTCAAGTGGTGGCAGCTGATCTTGGGGTCTATGCCCACCATGTCCTCATGACTCCAAGCAAAGACGTCAAGGTTCTTGCCTAGGAAGTCCTTAATCTTTTCTCTCAAAATGTTGGATAGGCCTCTGCCTACTTTCAACACCTTGGACGGATCTCGGGGGTCGGCTGAGAAGCTCTCAAGTTCTTCTACAGGGGATACTTGAGGCTCATGTTCCATTATGCGGGGGTCGATCTCATCAACGATCAGCACCTCCTGATTAAGTGGTGCGTCAATCATATCAACATCTTCCTGGTCAGTGGGAGCGTCACCTGGGACATCCGCCATGACCACATCAGCCATGATCACGTGGACGTTCCGGGGCTCTACCTTCTTAATGGAGCTTAGATAGCACTCTCTCGAGCCTCTCTGGTCGCCTCTCACCGTTGTCACCCCATTTTCTGTTGGGAATTTTATGCATAGGTGGTGGATGGAGGTGACTGCTCCCAATTCTTTTAGGGCCGGTCTGCCTGAAACTCCGTGGTAAGCCGAACGACTGTCAACTACGAGGAATTCCATGAAGTTCATCGTAGTTTGAGGAGACTCTCCCATCTCCACTGCCAGTGTTATCTTTCCCCTCGGAGTGATGCTATCTCCGGTAAATCCGTACAATGGAGTAGTAGTGGGCGTCAACTGATGGTCCAATATCATCTTGTCAAAGGCGGACCCGAATAGGATGTTGATGGAGCTGCCATTGTCAACTAACATTCGTTTGAGCCCATTTCGGGCTATGACAGCCCTCACCACCAGCGCATCGCAGTGGGGGTAATGAACTCCTTCGGCGTCTTCCTGGGTGAAGACAATGGGTGGTACTTGGTTTCTTCGAGAGCTACTGTCCACAATGTAACTTATCAGAGGGGGGTGCTTAGCCTCCCTAGCATAATTTCTTTTGGCGTTTCGTGTTTCACCGCCAATATAAGGGCCTCCAAACATGGTATCTATCTCGTGGATAGGGGCCTCATCTTGAGCTTGCCTATTTCTTCGGTGTCTACGCCCTTCCCTGGGCCTCTCTGTGTCTTGCTCTCTTCGCCTTGGGGATACATCCCTTTGACGAGGATCGGCCACCTCACGCCCATGTCGGTTGTCTTGCCTGGGCGGGGGCCTGTTCGCCTGGGGCCAGTTATGTCTTTCTCTGACGGGTTCCTACCGGGAGCAGTGTGCATAGTCTCTGCAATCCGCGCTGTTGTGCCCGTAGGACCTGTGGTGCAAACAGTATCCAGGGAGGTTCGGATTGGACCTATTTCTAGGTGCAAAACCTCGGCCCCAGCCTCTTCCTCTGCGGGGTCCCTACTGGGCTTCCATCTGATGTGGGTCAGCAGTTGGGTTGACATCCTCATATGCCAAGGTTGGAACCGCGTTCAAAGTTGTGGTGGCCAGAGCTTGGCCGGAGTTCTCATTTTCGGCTCGGTTCATCTGGTAGTCCATGAGGTGGGAGGTCGGACCCCTACCTCGCTGTCTTAGAGGAGGTGGGAGGCCTCTGCTTGCCCTGTTCCTATGCTTAATCAATTCTTCATTGTTTATTTTCCTTCTCATCATCTCTAGTAGGGCGTCATAGGTGGTGGGGTCTTGATTCTGCACATCCCTCCAGAATAAAGTGTTCATGTTCAAACCTCCTCTCAATGCAGATAGTGCTTCTCTGTCGGTGACTTGTATGCAGTAGGTCATCTTGTCGGTGAAGCGGGATATGAAGCTTTTCAAGGACTCGCCATGCGCCTGTCTCATGTCTTGAAGACGCTGGATGGGGGCCTCCCCTTCCTTGCTCACTACAAATCTCTTCAAGAAGGTTGTCTTGAACTCGAGCCAGCTTCGGATGCTCCCAGATGGTAGCCTACTATACCAGATTTCAGCCGCTCCACCAAGGGTTAAATGGAATGCTCTGCACTTCACGGCTGGGGTGGCGCCCCTCAGGCTCATGTGAGTTTTGTAAACGTTGAGGTGCTTTTCTGGGTCACCTCTTCCATCATACTTTGGTATTTTTGGTATGACGTAGTGGCTCGGGACCTGGGCATTTCTTAGTTCTCTTGAGAATGGCAGGTTCTCATCATCATCGTCCAAGTCACAGGACCTCTGCTGCTCATCAGAATCATAGTCATCGGCCTCGTACCTTGGTTGTTGGTTAGAGGGTCCGGGCCGGTTCCTAGCCTCTTCCTCCCTCCTCTGCGGCCTACTTCTAGGCGGGATAGCGCGGGGGGCATTTTCATGCCTTCTCTCCGGCTGATGGGGCATCGGAGGTGGAGGCTGTGGCCTCGTCCGAGGTTGCTGAGACTGCTGTTGACTGGGTCTCGGTTCGGCAGGGCTGATTCTGTCAAAAACATTTCCTGCTCTCTTATGTCTTGGGTCTTGCTCATATGGAGGTGGGAAGTCATCATGGCTCATTTGGACCTCGGTGGGTCGGCCAGATGCAAAGTTGGAGGAAATGTCGACTCCCACTTCCCTCTCGAACGGGCTTTCACCTCGGCCATAGTCTGGCAAGGCAGCCCTATGACTCTGGACCTCGTCCTCTTGCTGATAGTGCCTGCGGGGGGCGTATGGAGGAATGGGAAAGCCTCTCTGACCTTGCATTTGGACCATGAGTTCCCTCATGACCAAGTTTTGGTTGGCTATATCCCTCATGTTGGCTGCCATGATAGCCATTTCTCTTGATAGTCGTGCTGTCGCACGCATCCCACCTCTCCTTTGGTGGTGGTGGAGTCTCGTCCGAGCTACTGGGGCAGCAGGCTGGGGAGGCACATTCGTACTTTCTCTTACCCTCCTTAGGGGAGTATCTTCGTTAGAAGTCATTTTTCTTTTATCAGATTTAGATTTCACTAAGTGATAGGGGTTCCTCCTGTTCTTTTTCAAGAACAAATCCTTCTTCAAGGGGGGTTACCCAAATGTTTTTTAGTAAGCTTCTACCACAAAGTTGCTCGTGGTTATGGTATGGTTTCCCACAGACGACGCTAATCTGTCGACCCCAAAAAGTGCGCCAACAGATGCCGGTCCCACCCGCGCTTGCGTGGGCGAATGTCCAACACGCTAAGACACGTGGACGGTCTAAAACGAGCGGTTCAAAGGGGCGTGGGAGTAGCCCAACGACGTGGGACGATGACGTTTGGAGTCCGGCGGGTTGTTCGTAATCCGATTGTACAATAATTACCAACCGGTGCTCGTAAATGTATATGTGATAGTGTATAAACTCGATTTGTGTATTGCAAGTAAATGAGAGAGAGTTGAGTAAATGTAGTCTTTAGTATTGATTCTTGCATTAGCCTTTTGATATTACACAAGGGAAGTATTTATAGTAGTATATATGAAATGGGAGCCCTTGGATGAAGTGGCACGTGGCCTCATCTCTTTAGTTCAAACATCTTTTCCTAGGTATGGGGCTTGACTTGCTAGCTTGCAGCGTATTTATTGCTTGTGCAGGGCCTCCATGCTAGTGACAAGACTTGACCTTTATGCTTATGACAAACGTTCCATCAATCATTCGAATAAGATCTGTGCAAGCGATCTTTTAGGGGAAGTGACCATGGAGGATGTTTCCTTGTGGTTCAGAGGGTCGCGCATCAGCTTCGGGGCTTCGGCCATTTGTCATGATATTTCCACTTGAGGGCCTCAGCCGCTCTCAACAAGTTCCAGCAGCCTGGCTTCGGTTCGCAGGCCTCGGTCAATGGGCCTCGGACAAAAGGAGCTTCGGCAGATGGACTTCGGCTCGAAGCAGTTTGGATGTAGCCCACCTCAACATTGTGTGCCACCTCGGTAGGGATGCCACGTGGATCCCCATGAGTGGGCCATTGTCCTAGGTAGGTTGGCCAGGTGTGACAACATGCAACAGATTTCATTCTCATCTACGGTATTGATGCGAATGGCTTCAACAAGATATGAATGTAGCGATGTATAGCATTCCATTAATAAATTTCATTCCAAAAATGTAGAGAACACCAATTATTCTATCTTAGAGTAATGTTTTCATCAATTTTGTGGGGATGACACTTCAAAATTTGTTGCAACAAGTTCGGAGATTATGATTGAATTTACTAACTTAAGACATTTCGAATCGTGGAAACTTCCATTGTGTCCAAAAATAATGTTAGTTTCGAAATGCTCCATTTATTGTGGAAGTTATGCCATTGAACTTTTGGAGTGATTAGCATTGCTAACTTAAATTTGTAGTTTCTATCGAAGAGGATTTCATTTCAAAAATTAAGGAAATCTTCATATTTCTTTTGCCCACATTCAAATGGATGCGACATGCTCTCACATGTGTCCATACCCCAAATTCGACTGGTAGTTTTAAACTTTATTGATAGTTGGCATGTCGAATCATATACATAATGGCCTGGTTTGGATTGATCCTAATCGGATGATTATTAATTATTTTTATTTAATAGAGTATTAAATTCATAGATAAAATCTCAAATCACGGATTTTTAGAAAATCCATCTCAATGAAAATGTGTCAGACGAAGAAAACTACAAGTCTACGACTAGACAGAAGAGAGCATTTTGTAGCTTGTTTTTGCATAATGGAGTTTCTAAATTAAATCGATAATTGAACATCTATAAATCATCTTTTTCGAAACTCAGGTGCACTTTTCCTATGAAATTGAATCAAATCTATTCTTCGAAGATTTGACGCCTTGGAAAATGATTCTGGTATATGCCCGGTTAAGAAATTGTAAGCCAACGACATGATCAGTGGTCCAAATCATACCATATATGAAGCTTATGACTCTTTATTATTCCCCATAGTACTTGAAATTCTCACTCAAAAAAAAAAAAAAAAAATGTGATTTGAATTTTTTTTTTTTAGTCATCACTTTCTATTTTAAGCTTGAGGTAATTTTAGTTTCATTGCAATATACACAATCAGCCTAAAGTGACCGAGCAAATCATTCACCATAGCAAAAATGAGTATATATGAAATAAAATTTTCATAAATCATTCAAATATCATGTAACAAGTAATAACATAGGTATTTCCACAAAAATGAAAATACATTTTATTTCACACAAAATATCACAGCTAGCGAAACTCAAAGCACAAATTCGATATGGTAGAACATGTATTCAGACTAGCCTTCGGTGTACTCCATTTTAAGTAACCCTGAAAAGAAAAATATCATATCGTCAATAACATGGTTCAAAATAGTATCAAAACCCATTAATGAAAATTGTACAAGTGCCAAAATTTTGATAAAAATTCGAATTTTCAACTCTTTCGAATGAGTGTACGTCGCAAGAATTTAGTAAAATCAATGCGTTTCGCGTCAAATAAGCGTTATAAATGTAAATTATTACTTGGAGCAATCAACAGATGGAGAGATGGGATAAGGCAAGGAGATGCCACATTTCCCTGGGAGAGATTTTGCAAGTTCAGGCTTAAAACTTATGCTCTTTGCAGCAGTCTTAAGGCAGGCACATGCAGCTTGCTTGTCAGCTGTGGATGTAGCACTGGATACAAGACTTGATGCTCCTGCGCAGCAGTCGGAAGGGGGCGATCCGCTGCCGCTTTTTAGGTAGTTAAGACATGGTTTCAGATCTTTGATCACGTCGCTGCACGTAATCGCTGAAGTAGACGGCGCAAGTAAGAGATGGATAGTGAAAAAAGAGATGAGAAGAACTGCCACCGGTGTCGAAGATGCCATAGTTATGTTATAATTAAGGAGATTGGAACGAGGGAAGTAACTTGAAAGGATATATCAGTTGAGTACTGAATTTATAGGGTTTTTCATTTTTGGGGTCACTGGTACAAGAAAAATTATGAGAATATAAAAAATGTTTAATTTACAGATTGAGTGCAAGAAACAGACTAATGTGATTCAAAATTTGATTGCTTAGTGAATTGAATAATGAAAATGTCAAAGTTCAGTGCAATTATAGGGCAACTGTGCTACATAACTTGCAGCATTAGACATAAACCTAAACCTTAACGTTAACCCATTGAATTTTTTTTTCCTTTTTCCTTTAATCGGTAAATATTAATTATTATAGATCAAAACTCGTATACAAGTAAATCGGGCATACCCGTTGATCTTTTTGTTGCTAGGATAACATATCTTCCACTTGCATCCAACATAATTAAGCCTATGTTTGGCAACCATTTTTTTCAAAACTTATTTTCAATAACACATTCTCCCATAAAATAAATTTACGTGTAAATCAAAATTTTTTTTTTCAAATCACACATTCTTAAAAAAAAAATTACTATTTCAGAATACATTTTCTTCCAAAAATGGGGCTCAAACAGGAGCTAATGATGAGAGACATGAGTGACTAAAATAAAACTTTAACGTAAGTTTGGCGACCTAAGACCATTAGATGTGTCATACCCACAAATATATTTTACTTCTGCATTCCCACATCGAGTATATGATTGAGCAAACAAATATATTAAGGGAGACTATTGAAAATCAGACAGACAAGCTTTGAACTTCGATAAGATCTTGTATGACGATTTAGACATTAGTTATGTGGTAACAAGAAAGATATGTAATAAAATTTGTTGATTGTCGCATCTGTCCAATATATCAAATAATATTAGTCCACGTTTGGCTCATATTTATTTATTCACACATTTCAAGATATTTATAAGTAATGGTACTCACTAATCCATCACTCGTTTATCTTTACTTATAATTTAAACTGATTATAAACACTTTCAAAACACGCTCTAATCCATAGCTAGTCGATCAAGAAACTAAAGTAATTTCTTCAGTGTTCCAATGTACTGTCCTGGATTTGATATCTTACCATTCTGCATTTAAATGGATTAACATAATACAATTGATTAGGTAAAGCGTCCGGGCCTACAGTCTTCTAAAATACAAATTGTCCACCTGTTTGACGAAGGTATTGTTACTTGGACTGTCAACCAAAAACTGATTAATAAGAATGATTTCTTGCCGTTTTTATCAAATTCGTGCTGGCTAATATTAAATATTTGGAACAACTGCAATGTTTCTTGATATGAAATGTGTGAAGATGACTGACATTAATGTTATTGTTTACTTCCAAATTTTCAGACTAAAAGTTAGATTTTTAACCAAACCAAACAGAGACTAAGAGCCCGATTGGCATGGCTTTTAAAAAGTTAAAATGAGCTTTTGACACTCAAAAGCTACATTTGGTCCCGTTTGACTAATTTTATGAAATGTTGCTGGTAGTTAGAAGAATTTTTAGAGAAAACTGGTTTATTGTGGTTTCCTTTAAAAGCACTTCTAGAATAGAAGGTGCTTTCAAAAATTAGATTCCAAACATAAATTAAGGTATTTCCTTCAAAAATTCTTCGACATGAAGTTAAAGCAAAAACAAAAGCCATGCCAAACGGGCCCTAAATATGCATCGGACATGACTATAAAATTGGTCTTTAAATACATACAACTAGGGTAACAAGTGATTTGCCATCAGTATAGGCACATTTATGTGGAATAGTTAAGCCGGCAAGCACGACGTTTTCATATATGGAGACTTGTGATTTGGCCTGGGTTCGCTCCCAAGCGCCCAATGTGATCAAGCAAAACGATTATATTAGCTCTCGTTTGAGCCCCATTTTGGAGGGAAAATACATTTTTAAATAGTGTATTGATGAAAAATGTGTGGGTAAAAAATAAGGAAAAGTTTTTAATTTACATTTAATATTATTTTATTAAATAATGTGTGGTTAATAATGCATTTTTTTCAAAGAATGAGACTCAAAGAAAGGCTAAGCGCTAAGTTAACTCTTTTAATAGTCATGTAAACTCCTGTGAGCCATTATTCTGCACGTTAAGGTTAAAAAGCCCTTTACAAGACAACCCATGCCTGGCCCATGTCCTTTATAATCACACTCTCTCACAAAATTTATCATCTTCTAATTCAATCAAGAAGAGGATTCTACAAATATATCAAGATACTTGTAATTAAAAATGCATTTTTCTTTTTTCCAAATCAATGCTTGACAAGAATATGAAAGATGAACATCAGAAGAGCTACAATGAAACCTCTTGTTAATGTAAAGAAAAACAAATCGACAAGTAAACAAGCAATTAGCTAAACAAATTAATGAACCGTGTTACACATGCCTGGATTCTTCACACACCAAAGTGGCTGAATTGGTTCAGCATATATTCCTCTTGTTACCCTTCTATATCTCCACTCATTCAACCTATCTGTAGCCTCTGCATATCTGCTCTTTCCCGTTTCATCTCGATTTCCTGACCATAACGCTTCGGCCATTGCCGAAGCTCTCGGCCAGATTCGTGGATCCATAACGGTCGAATCAGCTTGCTCGGACCACAAAGCAACCTCCCCTCCTAACACCAGCTTAGATTCTGCCTCATTTAGTCCATATGTTATGTCATAGTTATAGATAGTTTGCCATGTTTTAAACGGTCCACACCATGAATCGCCGTCGCCTTGAGGAGTACCAGGTGGCTGATTATATTTACTGTTATTTCCAACGAAATCTCCATGCCCACAGTCCAAGTAATAGAAATCCGAGGACGAGACAATAACACGGTAACCGGAGTCGACGATCTTTTTTGTGTTGTTCGGTCCATTGTTCCATGTCTGTAGGATAACATTCTCTGGGGGAAGCAAAGAAGGGGAAACCTTTATTTCAGCATCCAACAGAACATCCTCCCAGAATACTACTGTACGGTTCAGGGATGTGATGTACGGTAAGGTTGTATTAACAAATATTTCAAGGATCTGACTGAGGGTTCCATTTTTCGAAAGGAAATTTTGAATCGAAGGGTCGACTTTCCAGCAATTTGGAACGACTTCATCGGCTCCTGCATGATATAACTCATCTGGAAACATCGTAGCAACATCATGGACAACATTCTTGACTACTTGATAGGTCTTAGGATGTAAAGGATTCAGTTGGCCGGTTCCTGGTTCGGCTGCGAGCCGGTTGGGCCAATCAGATTCAGCAGGCCACCAGAACATGTTAGCACAAGTGACAATCTCAGGGTAAGCTTCAGCCCATGATCCAGTATGTGCTGCAATAGGCAAATCAAAGCTTAGTGATTTGCGATGGAACCAGTCGCTACAATGAACAAAATTTAAGCTCTCCTTAAAAGGCGACTTGTAACATTATTAACATGAAACAATTGAAATTCGATTACTTAAGTACTACATGTTTGTACATTAATTCATCGCGCGAAAGAACTACACGAACCAATATCATTGACGGATCTCGTAAATCTTCAATTAAGATTTATTTTTATAAATTCGATATTTGATTTTAAAGAATTATATATAATTAATACTTAGTTGAAACAAAACAGAAAAAAAATGAGAAATCTTTTATTTTTTAAAGAACATTTTTTGTGTTTCTTTCTTAGAAATTTCTCAGGTTTCAATATTGAGAAACAAAATGAATCTTTGAAGAAAAAAATGTTAATGGAAACTCACCAGGCATGTCAATCTCCGGCACCACCCTAACCCCATATTCCATCCCAAACTCCACCACATTTCTCACATCCGCTGCTGTGTACTTCATACTTTCACCGTAGGCTCCTTTCCGGGCTAGCTCCGGCTCCGACGGCAAGACTACTGGGAAAGAATGCGAATCCGTAATATGCCAATGGAAAACATTCAATTTATTCATAGACATGGCCTTTACAAGCCTCAGCAAATCCTTCACCCCATAATAATTTCTCGACGTGTCGAGCATGATTCCCCGGTGCATAAAAAGTGGTACGTCGGAAATGTACAACCCGCACGCCACACTCGATGGGCTAGAGTAAACGAGCTGGGAAAACGTTTCTAGGCCTCGCATTGCGCCCCATTCAGTTTGCGCCGTTAGAATCGCGTTTTCACCGGAGGAAGGGACGGCAAGGGAGTAGGATTCATTAACTCCGTGAGTCAACGGAGAGTTGACGTCAGCGACGGTGATAACTAGGGCGGTTAGAGGCGGAGCTGACTTAAGGTTTAGGGGTGGGTTGACGAGGGGAAGGTGGTGCTCCATCAGTACTTGGCGGAGGTAACGGTCGACAGCGGGGGTTAGGTAACGGTGTTCGGGGGCGGAGATCGTGAAGTTTCCGGCGAGTAAGATTGCTTGTGGATTGGGCCAAAAGAAAGTTGTGGGCTTGGGCCAGACATTGATTGGATATTCAACGGCTGAGATCTGAGGGATGTTAGAGCATAGGATTATTGTGAAGAAAGAAAAGAAAGAAAATGAAGGTTTTCTATAATCCATTGTTGAGTTTTATGGATTTTGATCAATCTTGGAGTCCTAGGAAAGTGCATTTATATGTTCTTTTCTCCTCTTCTTTCTTTGTCATGTTGTTTTATAACCAATTGTATGATATATTATGTTTTATTGAGTAGTGTTTTAAAATACTGCAAACTATATTTATTTTTTATTTGAAACATTGTCAATCGAACTTATCAAGAACGACATTAGTTCATTATAAGGGTAGCATAGAAATATCAGAATATTTTTTTGGATATGAGAAGATGGGACTAAAGATTTGTAGAATTTGTTTGTTTATGCTTTGGAGTCTTGGGATTGTCCATGGAATTTCAAGAATTGAAAATTGTTGAATTGCTGCCTCTTGAGCTCATGGCCCTTTTTAAACCATGAGGTCAAATCTACAATAATAATAAAAATATATCATTAAATTTTTATTTTTTTAAAAGAACAAAAACATTTGGATTTATTCATTTTTTAGTTTTTTTCCTTTTTAAATTTGGGTTTTTTTTATTCCACTCATTTTCATTGATTAAGACTAAGAATAGACATGGCCGGCAGCTTCAAGAGAAGCCCCTCTATTAGCCTCCCAATTGTCATCTACTAAAGAATCTTGATTTTCTTGGAGTTGTTTACAATGACATTTGACTTAGGAAAATCAGATTCTTGTAATAAGTTGTTGTCAATTGGATGTGTCAAAAAAGGGCAGTTTGTGCACCAAAAATAAGCACTAGGCTTCCATTTGTAGAAAGAATAATAATGTCCTCTAGTAGGTTAACATATTAAATCCTAGAAGAGTAAATAATTTTCTTTGAATGGATGAATTAATAGCAATAATACCCGTTTAAAGCCTGCGGTAGTTGGAATGCAATATTTATGTTGGAAGCTAGATGTCTTATGGAGGCAAAGTTATAGTGTCGTTCCTCTGACAGTCCTGTTCCCACGTCGTAAGGGGAGATCCACATGAAGGAGAACCATTTTCCGAATGTCCAGTCCAAATGTGTATAAGTTTTGATCGCATCTGAATTTATTCGGATGGCGAACTGGAGGAAAGGCCACCATTCCTTAGAATTATTTAGACGAAACTCGGACACCTGAGTCACCAAAACAAAATAATAATCAAACCCGTTTAAAGTATGGGAAGACACGAAAATTGTGAAAACGTGACATGAAAATTAAGACAATTAGTTTTAAGACTGAAGTATCAAATATGGTGTGAGGGTTAAGTCTTAAATAATGCAAATAACGCCAGTGCAAATTCGTTATGCTTATAGTGATTTTCCAACATCCATTCCTTCCGTTACCTCTCAATTTGGATTGAACACATGGTTTGCAAATTATTAGGTAATTAGGGTTTTCAAATGGGGGTTGAAATGAGAGGTAGGTTAATTAAATACAATATTATAATATTTATAATTTTAATTAGGTGCAATTATTTTTCCAAAAACTGAAGAAACAAAATATTCTGTTACAGTTTTTAAAATAACAAATATATGGCCTAATTATCTCTACATATTTTCAATTAATATTTGATACCAACGGCCAAAAGTAATTCATTCCGACGGTCTAAAAGTATGGCAGTAATTGATTTTTTTTTCTTTCTGTTTCCAAAATTTTCAGAATATTATTAGTTTACAGCTCATTTTTGACATATTACAAATCTACTATTCATTATTTTTATAATCAAAATTATTACACGCAATGAGCAGATAAAAGGAAATATTGGTAATGAGAAAAGTGACCTACTAGCAAGGTCGATCCTGAGATTTTGGGGGCCTTATACCAATTTCAAATATGAGATTATATATATATATATATATATATATATAAAATAATAATTTTTTGGGGGGCCCTCATTGAAGTGAGACTTTAGGTGATCGCCTACCCCATATATAGTCAAGGCCGGCATTGCCTACTACGATAATGGGAAGGATGTATTTCAAGAGGATGTCAAAAGGTTTCCGAGGATGTTATATTGAATGTATTTTCCATCATGACTTTGGGAATTCCTTTAGTTTGGTAAGGGAATTTTGGGAATTGTTTTCCATTTCCATTTTAGGACGAAGGACATGTGGTGGCGGGTTACAGTGAGGAGTGGGTGGGGTTTGTATTTTGTAATGGTGGTTGTTGTGAGATTTTTAATGTATTTTTTCATTTCCATGTTGCGTGATTCGTTCGATTCCTCGAGCTTACTTTTGTAGTTGTAGGTGATGGTAAGAGTGGATGGCGTTGATAGTGGTAGTGACGATGTTGGAAGATACAAGCAGGGTGAGTGTAACACGGTTTGTTACATAGTTGGGATGTGCATCTTCAAAAGAAATGAAAAAAATATATATTTGACCATTGAAGGTCAAAAAATAACAATCAGGGATGGATTCAGATTTGAATTCAAGATCGGGTTAAAAAAATTTCAAACTGGACTAATACGCGAAAAAAAAAATTTACTCATTAAAAATCTATTTTTACAAAAAAAAAAAGAAGAAGAGGAAAATTACCCTAAAAAAAATTTAATTGGACCAGGTGAGGGCGGACTATAGCCCAGCGAGTACTCCCCTTAAATCCGTCCCTGATAACAATCTATGAAGTTATTGTGATTAATTAATTATGCGCGTGAGCACACATACACACATCAATGTAATATAGAATAAGTGGATGAATTAATCTTGGTGACATAACTTGGAGGTAACTTACAGATTGTTTAAGTGATTTCAAGATTTGAAGTCAAACATCAATTTGTTTAACTATGTAATTGTTTATGTTTGTTAAGTATTAGTTTGATTCGGAACAAACAAATGTTCAAGTTTGAAATTATTTGACATGTAATTTCTCACTTATTTAGAACATCAAAAGTGAATATTTTGGAATTTAATTGAATAATATACTATTTAATTTGTTAAATATCGATTGTTGTAGGTTATATTGAAGTTAGGATGGGATTTGATCAAAAGAAACAATGATTCACCAAAAATCGGTGAAAAATAATGCTTTTCAAAGTTCAGGGACCAAATTGCAAACACTCAATAATTTATTCGAACTACATGTCGAAGTATAAAGAATATGGAGAGTTATTTGGACGTGATTTTAAGTCAAACGAACTGAACAACAAATCAAAATCAAAGACTAAAGTGCACATCATCCAAGATGCAGGTGGCGCATGAAACTACCACAACCTTGCATGCGCAAGGGTCTGTTTTACAGAACCTGAAAAGCTCATAGGCATGAGCCTTGACGTGAAGAGGGCACACATTGTTACCATCACGCCAGATGATCCAGTTTTCTTTTTTGGTTGAAACTTTGGGCACACTTCTTGATTTAATTTCGACCTTTAGCAAGACATAAGGTACCTCTCATACCATGATATTCGTTAAATCTTACAAGAAAATAGACGTAATTCATCATTCTTTTGGGCAAATTAAGAGGCACAACACAAAATTTCAATTCATTGAATATACAATCTTGGTGTTTAGGCAAAGAGGAGAAAGGCATAACTGGAGGCTAATTAAGAAACCATGGAATAGATTCAAGATTTTAACATTTATCCTCTTCTTCTTCATTAATAAAAAATCCTGATGATGTTTTATAAAATTAAGATGATTTCTTGTGATTTTGTATGTTAGGCTAGACTCCAAATGACCAAGACATAGATGAATCATAGTTATGAAATTTTAATACGATTTCAATATTTTGACTACTAAGATGTATTAATTTTTGGTTAGTTGTTATTGTGTTTAATGATTTTCAATTATTTGATCACTAATTGAATTGATACACGAATTTTATTGTTATCAAAAGAGACAATATGATAGATATCACATTATAGCAATTGTTATGAGGTCCGATGGAGAACAATGATATATTCATATACTTTGCATGATTTTTATAGATGTTCTAGCGTTTTAATGCATATTTTTATGTTCGCATCTTCACATAGATATAGAAAGGTCACGTGAGAGAGATTATTAAATAATTTAAGTACATTAATCAATGAGAATATGTATCGTCATGATATTGAATTGCATTAAAATGGATAATTAATTGAGATTCGAAATCTTAATAATCATTCCACATAATCTTACAAAAATCTTCATAATTTGCTCATTAAAATACTTAGTTTAATTAGATAAATTAGTATAGAATCGATAATCAAAATTTGATTATTCGATTAGAGTTAGAATTGAGGGTCCGTTTCATTGCAATAATGAAATTTGGGTGGAAATAAAATAAATTCTAGAGAATTGTCAATTAAATGTGTTTGATTGTTATAATTTTTTACTTGAAAAATGTTGAAATTTTGAATCTTTTAGTATTCGTTTGACTTTGTTTTAAATGAAAATTATCAATTAAAGGGATAAAATATGTTACAATAGTGAATAGAATTTGTTTCCATTGCCAAAAAAATAAAAAAACTTGGAAAACCATTTTCCTACCTAATCCATAAGAATTGCAATTCCTCAAAATGATGGAAAACTTGGTCACGTGATGCTGAAGTTAGAAAACCAATTGCCTAGAAAAATTTATCAATCAAACACTTAAAAAAGTCGAAAGTGGAAATTTTTTTCCATTTTCCATGAAAAATTCATCCAATCAAACAGTGCCTAATTGACTCTAAATTAGGTTCATAGTCCTCGTAGAAATTATATTTTAGTCATCACTTTATTATTTATTCACAATATCGTGTGATTTTGTATGATGAAATTCCATTTGCAAATATCTGACAAATATTTGTCAAAAGTTAATGGCCACTACCTGGTTGGGCAGGTAGATGGTTCAGTAGATGAACTAGACACGTTTTGGTAATCAAACCTGGCTGAGTGTAGGAAAGGACAAGTACTTAAATTTGTTTGTTGCAACTCATTAATTTGAGTAACTTGGTAACTGTTTGGTTGTCGGAAATTTAGAAAATATTATTGAAATATGAGCAAATAGTAGCACCTAGTTTGATCTAATGAATATTGACAATAAAAGTCTTTAGTGAATAACTATCCATAAAATCACAAATATTTTAGAAGGCATAAGGTATGACAAAGCATGAATATCTAAAAGGTAGTGCAAACTCTATACAGACACTTGAAATAGTATAACGCTCGAGGGTTAACCTTACATGAAAACCGTAAATTTCAGACAAGTTATATGAAAATTAATGGAAAGAAATTGCTGAAATAATTAAATTTAATAAATTGGTGCAACTGCTAAAATAATGCCTCACCCTCTCTACTTGCCCTTTCTGTCTATTGATTTTGGAGTTATCAAGCATTAATTTATAATACAGATGCAACAACTAAGCCAACAACCTAATATAAAACCAAATTAATGTTGAAGTTACGTCTATATGTATATATATTTTTATGATATCACTCATTTTCATTGGTTCCTACAAAATACATTTTTTCCCCTTTTGTTAGATTAAACGGCACGCACGCTTTTGAATTTATGTGTTTTATTTTAAAGATTTCAACATCAAATGACGTTTTAATAACAGCAGCTCTTCAGCATACTATTTAATAACGTTGATTTCTCTTTGGTTTTCTGGGTTTGTTATCTAAAGAGAATACATAAGGATGCAGATGATGACTGAAATGGCTTTTGCAGCTAAACGCAAGGCGGAAAGGTCAGTCAAATAGGTTTATGGTATGTTTTATATTTGAATTAAGCTTTTTGTACGGATGAAATGTATAGAAACATTACAGATGATGAGGAGTGATACTGCATTGATTAATTTTACTTTGTTTTTTGTCCGACATTCAATGAAGTCGTGTCAAATAACACTTTGTCAAATATTTCCGTACATGCAGCATTTCTGTTTATGTTTTGGTTCGTCTTGTCTAATTCAACTTACCATACTTGTCTTTTAAGGTTTTAAATTTTTCTATTTGTTGTTTTAGGTAATTCAACTTGTTCTCTTATAGCAATCTTACCATATAAGTAAATGAGAATGTTTTAGGATAAAGCTACTTTGCCAGAAGAATTTAACAGAAAGTTTGACATAATTTCATGTGCTAGTAGATGATTGGATGGAAAAGCTGACTGTATTTTAAATTGACCAATAATAGAATATCACTTGGCATTATGTCAAACTTTATGTCAACTTTGATGTTCATGTAACATGATTGAATATTTTATCACTTTCATTTCGTCCACAATTTTCGCCTTCCAAGAATTCTCCAATCCAGCTACCCAGTTACAATATCACTAACTTGAATTTCATTAAATAACTCAAATGTTTAGGGATTTCATTAAATTTTATTATATAACTCCAGCTTGCTTCCAAAATTAACTCATATGTTTAGTGATTTCATAAAATTTATTTTTATATCAAAGTCTACCAAGAATTTGATTCTTAACATAACCATAACAGGCCAAATATGTTTAGTGATTTTAGTTGATAAGTTTACTATCGTCACAAAATTGTTCTGTCAAAAGAAAACTAAATTAGTAAATACCGAGTCAAAAGCTTAATTATTGAAGGCAGCCTTTACCAAATCAGACCGATCAATTTTTCTGAAAGACCAACTTATTCGTACAATTTATTTATTGGATAACACTACGTTTACATCTTAAGGTGTACACAAGAGTTTACACCTCCTTTCATGAAGGGGGCCCACACACACAAGTTACTGTGTATGGGCCTCGCCCCAAGTAAAGGGATGTAAACTCGTGTGTATATCGTTATGTACATGTAATATCACTCTTAGGGTTCGTTTGATTACAAAAATGAAATTGAATTGAAAACGAATTTCAGGGAATTGAATTGTTTAGAAATTGTTTTCTCGGGAATTGTAAATTATTGTGTTTGATTGGTATAATTTTCCACGTGAAAAATGTTGAAATAAAAGTGTTTTTAGTGTTCGTTTGACTTTGTTTTATATGAAAATTGTTAATTAAAGGGATATAATTTACTGGTATTGGGAATGGAATTTGTTTCTATTGAAAAAAATTAAAAATAAATAAATAAATAAATAAAAATTCAAGAAAATCATCTATCTTTTTGGTGTTTGTTTGACTTTGTTTTACATAGAAATTGTCAATTAAAGAAAATTTTTTATTTAATATTATTATTATTATTATTATTTTTTACAATAACTCTTAGAATTTGTTTCCATTTAAAAAAAAAAAAAAAGGAAAAAAAAGATGGAATTTGAAAAACCACCATACCCCATGGGAATTCACTTTCCCTAAAAAGTTGGAATTGGCACCCGTGTGAGCACTATTCATGGAAAATAATTGCCTGGGAAAAATGGTGTATCAAACACCCAAAAAAGTGGGAAATGGAACCCACGGAAAATATATTGTATCAAACGGTGCCTTATTTACTAGATTGTTTATAGTCAAATTGGTCAACAACAGTATAAACCAATCGATTTTTTGCTAAAAAAGTGGTGAATTAGTTTTTTCAAAACTATGTGTCATTATATAATAAAATACAAACAAAAAATTTAAAAAGATATCTACAATATCTCCATTCGAAAGGGGCAATATATCATGAAAAATAAAAAAGAACAATAAATCCATTATTTTTTAATAAAGTAAATTCATTTAATACTTCCATTTTTTTTCAACAAATAAAAAACACATACAAAAGACTGTAAAAAATTCAAACAATTTTCCCAATGCTTCAACAAATAAATATCGACTCACATATTAAACCAATGATCTAGGGACTCGATCACTTGGTAGGATCAATGTTCAAGTCGTATATGATACTTTGTTGTTGAACGGCATTGCAAAATCATAATTCGTCACGTTATTGGCTATATGAGTATAATAAATTAAATTCTCATTTTGACAAATTGATAAATGATATAGCTTAGAGGATTAGAGCACGTAGTTACGAATTATGATATCGGGGTTTCCAATCCCTCCTTGCCCACAACTAGCCCAAAAGGGAAGTACCTTTACCTTTGGGGTAGGAAAATCATGATCGAGATAGCGTATCAAAAGCTATGGAACTTGAGTGTGGGTCGTGGGAATGGATTTTTTCTTTTTATTTATAAAAAAGGAATAGTAATAGAAATAGTGTGTCCTATGAAATGTATAAATAATAATCAATAGTAGGTCTATTTGAAATAAATATCTAATTTTGAATGAATTTATAAATTTATTCTAAACGGAGTGTAAATAAGCGTGCAAAAATGTATCTTTTGGTAGAATAAAAAGTGGTCAAAAGCTGCAAAGAAGCAATGCATGATAGGGCAATCTCTTAAACCAATGATAATTTCAATTTGTATGAGATTTTTATTATTTCTATACATACGTTTTTATAAAGTATAAATAATACTAATGTTGGTTTAGGCCTGCACATTATTGCTTGTTGTGTTGTTATTTTATTACACATTTTGAAAGATACGATGATTTTTTTCTTAGAACAGGGAGGGCGGCAATGACAAAGATTTGTCTTGGATTTTATATGTCGAGCTTTGTATTTGTTTGTGTTAGTCGAAGAATAATTTATTTGAGTTAACTGACTTAATAAAGCAAGTTTGTTTTCTTTGTTACCTGTTTGTGGGACAATATTCTCATTTCTCACAGACCTCTAATGGAGTACTCTCAAGGAGGTTCCGAAGTAAGACGACTTCACATCGTCTACTTCCTCAGTAGAAATGGCCATAACGAACACCCTCATCTCATTCGAGTCCATCATCTCTCAAGAAATGGTGTACGCTTGCGAGGTTCGTGTGTGTATGTATATAGTTATGTTAAAGGCGAGCCGGTTATTTTTTTTTTATTGGAACGATACATAGAAAAAATTCATCATTATTATTATTTTTTACCTTAAAGAATAAATGGGCTTCTTCCTACACCCCTGGTGTATTCAATCTTCGAGTAGCAAGAAGTTTACGCGCAAAATCTAATAACTAACTGTTTCTAGTCTTGATCGAGTAACTTTTGCATTGACAATTTTGAAAAATGTAGATGTTAAGAGATGGTTGGCAGAATTACGAGGAAAGGACATGCCTGAATCCTTTGCTTGGTCATATAAGAGGTATGTAAATTAAATTAATGAAAATTTTCTTGTATATTTACAGTACAAGTCATTGTGTATGACAATTTTTTGGTGCAGGAGGTACAAGACAAGTCATGTTTGGCAAGATTTGCTAGATGATGATCTAATTACTCCTATCTCGGATAATGAATACATTCTCAAGGGATCAGAGATTATTCCTACTACTTTTGATAAAGGTAAGTATCATCGAATTTTCGATTTAGTTTAAAGATCATCAAATGTATGTTTATTATCGATTCCTAAGAACCATCGAAAAGGTCTAATGGATGCATGAAAGTGACGAAGTGGCATTGACTACGTACCAATGGAATTTTATTTTCATTTCTTTTTAATCACAGAGATTTCATATGCTGAAAAGAAAGTTCCCATGCAAAACAAACCATCGGTTGAAGAAGAAGCTGAAGAGAAGAAACTCTTAGAAATTCAAACACAATCGGAAACATCGATTCCATCACTTGAAGAACAAGCTGAAGAGAAGAAACCCTTGGAAATTCAAACACAATCGGAAACATCAATCGATGTTTCCACAGAAGAATTCACAATATTTGGTTCAGAGACATCTACATTGACAGATAATTCAGGGAAACTTGAAGTAGAGGAGAAGCATTCAAATACAGTAAGTGAACAAGATAGATCAATTCAAATGGAAAAGAATAGGAAAAATAAAGTGAAAATCGAAAAAATTGATTCACCGGCTGCTTCATCATTGAAATCATCTGAATCTTGTTACACAAAGAGTGTGAGCCATTCAAGAGGTGGATCCCATAAATTTCGTAATTTGATCACTTGTCGTACTTTAGATACTAATGATTCAGCTGTCGTGATGATCAATAGTAAGAATAGAATATGCAAAGGAGAGAAACTTGGAGGGTCTCAGAGGATGTTTAAAAGTACATGGAACCAACAACCATGGAATACTGGCAGGTAATGTTCGAGTTTCTATCAATATTGGAAGTATTAAAATTGGGTTTTCATCTTAAAATGTTAATATTAAAAGGAGTTGCCCAAACTCGTATGAATTGGTGCATATTTTTTTTTTATCTTTATTCGATGTGAGATTTTATCCCTTAACATATCATTGTAAAATGATGGCTTGTTTGAGCAGATCAATCTTGAAATTCGCATACTCATTTTTTTGGGTCTTAAATGGATCAAGTTGCTCATTTGAGCTTAATAGACTTTAATACCATATAAATACTTGAGTTTTCATTTTAAAAGGTCAATTTTATTAACAGGAGTAGCCCAAGTCCTGGTTTATGTTTTTCATTTTTATTCGATGTGAAATTTTATCCCTTAACAAAATACGCCTTGAAGAGGACTCAAACCTCCACGCTCTTTAACTGGACTAATTTTTGTAATCAATACCATTTTAACTTTTCCTTTTGCTGTATTTTTTTTCTTCTTGATATTCAATGTGAAACTTTGTCAAATCTTAGATGTAAACTTTATTATCTTTTCCCTGGATTTTCAAAGTAGTTCCGGAATTGGTAGCAGGAAGAGCTGTGATGGGGTGAAGGATTCAAAGAAGAACAACGGTGAATTCATTAACCAAAGAACGACAGGCAATGCTTACAAACCCGTCAACAGCCCAAATTGCCCGTAAGTTGCTCGACACTTCCCACTCTTCTTTACTTAATTCTTGATACTTCGTCATAACCATCATATATAAGGTTCGTTCCAGTTTAAAAAAATGGAAGAAAATGATTGCCGTAATAGGAAAAAGAGGGACTCTAATAACACTCTCACTAACTATAAAACCAGTATTTTGAATATCATAACTTTCATCAATATCTCCGCGCATATGCAGCAATTCTTCTCTTATTTGCATTATATTTTAAGAAATTAGAGGAATCCAAGAGTAAAAATTTACTATTTTTATTTTTTTTATTCATTTTGAATTGTAATTTTTTGGGGAATGTATACTTAAAAAGTGGAAGAAAATTTTGAATTTACGTGCAAAATATTTTATTGCATGAATCTTTAATTAAAAAAGAGTATAAGAAATAAATTATTTTGCTTTAAAGGGAGTCAAACAAGGGTTGTATGATTGAAAATGAGTATGAAAAATAAAGAATTTTAAAATTAAAAAAAAATGTAAAATAGGAGTTTAATTGACTATGCCTTTATTTGGAATAATTTATAAATAGATAGAATGAGTCGTGAATAATATCTATAGTTAGTCAATTTATAAATGATTTATAAAGTTGACAAAGGAGGGCTATTTAATTGGGATGCAGGCAATGCGGGAAGCAATTCAAGCCAGATAAACTGCCTGCACATATGAAATCCTGCAAAGCAATCAAAGCCACATCACGAAGATCAATTCAGATTTTGCCTTCAACGTAATAAATTATTTATTAAAACATAAAAATAGTCTATTTGATTCCATAATAATGTTGTATGATTTAATTCATTTAACTAATAGAGTGTTAAGCTCCTAACTTTTTATTGGTGTGCACAAACACACATATACATGCATATACATATATACACACACATATTGGGAAAAGTGTTCAATGGAAAGAGGTAAATTATTAGTATGTGACATCCAAATTTCCTAATAAGACCTCTTCTTAAAAATTATGTGAAGAAGTTTCACTTTTGTTAAAGTCTCGATGGATCCTTATCCCCTTCTTTTTATGTCTTTTTACCGTTGAAAATTTGAAATTGAATTCAACGTTCTTCGACCTTTCATTCTCGTAACACATTCTCTATATTAGGCAACCTTCTTCACCCACCATGTGTTGTTTATGTACATATAAGTTTACATTCAATTTGGACTCGTTGTTGTACTCGCTTTTTTCTATTTTCACTCGTTCGCCCCATCTGAAATTTACTGGGGAGCTCTCAACGGCTGCTTCCATGGTTTTGAATGAGAATGTGGAGGACCGGTGAAATCCTCTTTTTTAATAAGATTACAATATAGTTTTGACCCCTAAAATAGTTCCTTTAAATTAAAGAAATAGTGTATTTTTATTTTACCATAACAATTCAAAATTGACCTTTTGAAAAAAAAAATAAAAAAATCTTCATATATGTAATATTCGTTTTCACTGGTAAATATAAGGAGGAGGATGCTTGAATTTTCATAACGTACACCTTGAATGTACACCATAATGGTATCCATAATGTACACCTTGAATTTTCCAAATAGGAATCCGAAGTAGGCCTAATACTTCAAGAGGTTGGCGTACTAATTTATCACAAATCTACAATTATAACCATAGGGGACTAAGATGTAGGAAAGATGGAATTGAAGGGCTGCCATTTAATTTAGATGAAATGATCCATGAAGCAAACATGATTTTCCCCTTTTTTTCACTCAAAATATTATTGGTTTTATAAAAACAAATATAAAATTTAAGGCATATTTTGTCTCAGACTATGAAAATGGACTTTTAAACCAATTTATGGTTCTAACAAGACTCAATAAATATAGCCAATTTTTACTCGAAAATGATCTTACATTACTTTTTCACATGAATATAATCATATCCAACCTTTTATGTCTATCAAAACCTACTAGGAAAATCGAACAAATGATTCAATCCAGTTCGTTAAAAATAATAATAACTATGCATCTAGAAAAATATAAGTTGTTCGCTGTTTCTCAATGATCATAACACTACACTTTATATTTTTACAAACATTGTAGTTAGAGAAACATTTCATATTTCAGGTCATAATTCAAGATTTTTTTATATGAATATAGATAATAATTGATTTATATAAGATAAGAATGTGGCCCGAATTGGTGGTTATTAAAGGATAATCTCTCTCTCTCTCTCTCTCTCTCCTCATATATCATACTCATTCCCTAAATCTTGAAATTTATAAAAGTATAGTTGTAAGGTTTTGTGATTATATATATATGCGCGCGCGTTGTTCACTGTGAAAAGTTTGATATTCATATTGAATTTATGTGATCATCTATATTTAAGCATGTACATAAAATTCATATGTGATGGGTGATTTAAACAATGAAATTGTTGTATCTTTCACAAAACTATGTCAATTTTGAGCTACGTAACTTGCAAAAATGCAACATCTTTATTCTCATTGGGCCCATTACCGAATGGCCCAAGACCAACATATTAGGTCTTTGGGGGCTTCACGTGTCAAATCTCATTCTCAATTCAGATAGGGAGATTAAGTGGTAAATCACTTGGTTTGTTAAGAAAACATATAGATAACAACAATTCATTTCAAATTTTATCTTATCAATATACACTGTTACACGTACCCTATCAAGAATCGTCTCCAATTCTATAAATTCGACACTCAAGGAACTCGAATTAAGACTCAGACACCCCTCTATCAATCTTTTAATCCCGACATGAAAAAAACGACGTGAAATTTTCGTCTATTGTGTTCAAGAGTTGATGAAAGGCAGTGCCATACTAGTCAAAGTATGAGACATGTAGCAAAAATCAAGCAGAAAATCACTAGTCCATCAATTCTAAACCCATCACGTCCTACTTGAATGTGTTAGCCTATCAGTTATTTTTCAAGAAATTGCAGTATACCAACCAAGAAAATTGACATTTCACCACTTTACACACTCAAAATTGACCATTAACCAAAGTTTAATAACCCAAAATTCAACCACATTTTGTTGATCATCTGTTGATTTATCTCACTCTTTGGTCATTTACACACACAATCCCAAAAATGGCAGACGAAACCAAGCATAATTCTGGTAAACCCCACTACAATATAACTATGTCAAGAAGAACTAGAAGGCCTAACAATCTCAAAATAGAGCCATTTGGAAGTACGTGTTTTGAAGAAAAGAAGTGTTTAGGGGAAGAAGAAAAGGTTTATGAAGGACATAAGAAAGATGATCATCATCAGCAGAAAAGCTTGAAGGAGCTGATTGAAGGCAGATGTCCACTTGCTCAACACTTAGAGGTCAAGGAAGAAGAGAAGAAACAAGATCTGGTGATTTTTCGAAACGAAAGTGGAGTGAAATTCAAGAAAGTTGTGAGACATTGTGTTGATGTTATGAGCAATTTGATCAAGGTAAAACACAACCCTCCTTTAGGGTTCTCGAAAAAACCGATAAGGCCATTAAAATTTGTCAAGAAGAAATGAATATTTTCGAGTATTTACAAGAAAACGTGAAGGAATTTTATGTGTTAAATATGCACATATAGTGATTTGAGTGCATTGATATCGAAATTCTGATGAATCATATGGGTAGTTGCACAATTTATTTTGGCATTTGTGAACGGAAATTCATCATTCATCATTTTTGTAATGCATGTATGGAAATACTCTTTTCGTGGTATTTTGTTGATTCTATGATATTGTTTCTCTAATATTTTAATTATGTAATTAGCGTAGGATCTTTTCTTTTAATCTTATATCAATAGGGTAGTCTCAATTTTAGTTTTATTTAATTTAGAACCTACGAAATATTTACTATGTTCATTGTTTAGCTTTCGTATGCAGCATTACACTTGCAAAGTTCTCAATTTCAGGCACATAAATATACACAATCTTAATTCAATATAACAGTGAAATTGCAATTTGTTGTTCTTTCAGAATATGATTTAAGGCATCTTAACACTTTTTTTATTTATCCACAAACTGCCGGTTAATAATTTGGTGCAGAGCTAAACCAAATCTGTCGAATTATGAACCTAGCAGTTTAACCAAATTAATAATCAGTCCCAAAGAAGTATATTTTACATGGAAAACTCATGGCCAGACTAGGCCAATTTGGTTGGAAAAAGCGGCACTATCGTTAACTTGTTATTGTTATAATAAACTTATCTAATTATTACAAAAATAGAAGACCTATTTAAAGGACTACAAATAAATCTAAGGATCCATTTGATTGTAAAGATGGAATTTGGATGAAAAGAAAAACGAATCACAGGAAATTGAATTGTCTTGAAATTGTTTTACTGGGAATTGTCAATTATTATATTTGATTGGTATAATTTTACATGTGAAAAATGTTGAAATAAAAGTATTTTTTGGTATTCGTTTGGCTTTGTTATACATTAAAAATTGTCAATTAAAGGGATAAAATTTACTGATATTGGGGATTGAATTTGTTTCCGTTGCAAAAAAAAAAAAAAAAAAAGCTCCAAAAAATCATCTATATTTTGGTGTTTATTTGACTTTATTTTATATGAAAATTGTCAATTTAAGAGATATCATTTTTTACAATTGTTCCTAAACTTTGTTCTCATTGCCAAAAATTAAAAAAAAAAAAAGGCAGAAAATATAAAACCACCTACCCCATGGGAAAATGAATTCCCCAAAAACAAGGATTAGTGCACGTGTGAGGCAAAGGTAGAAAACCAATTGCCTAGAAAATTTTGACTATCAAACAAGCCAAAAGTGGAAGATTGAATTTTTTTTTTTTTTTCATTTTCCTTGGAAAATTTTGTGCTATCAAACATGATCTAAAATGAAATGTGTCCTAATTATGCAATCAATATAAAGGAAAAATAATCTCACATAATTAAGAAAATATAACGGAGAATAAAGTAGAATATTTCCATATCTTGAACACATCCCCTCGAACTCAATTTGGTAATTAAAATAATTACCAACTGTTCACATTAATCAAATTGATATATAATATAATTATTACAAATTTTCCTTCCAAAAAAATTTAATCTAAATTAAATTAATCGAGAAAAAATAAAATAATCATCGACTGTTCACGTTAATCAAATTAATATACAATTTAATTATTAAAAATTTCCTTTCAAAAAAATTTAATCTAAATTAAATTAATCAAAGAAAAGTCGATGTTCAATCACGAGCGACGTCAAAAATAGGTCTATATGTCATGATATTTAGAATGATAATATTTCGAACAATAATTTAAAGCATTTACAAAGTGATAAATTAACAATTATTTGTGGTACAAAAAAGACTCAATAAATAAATTAAAAACTAATTGGAGCCAAACTCAATATTTAATTTAAATCTCCAATCCAAAAAATCTTCAAGAATCTAATAATAGTAACCCAAATAGAAATGGGAAAAATTCATATTTAAGGTATATTCTTCACGCCATTTCAAAAGTGAGGTAAAAAGTTTGAAAATTCAAAATTCAGGTTTGTATTTAATTAATTAAAATTATTTATTAAATAAATATATTAAAGTCACAAAACAATTAATGATCACAAATTTTACAAATTTATTTTTTACTAGTCACATATCATCAAATTAATTGGTCACAAATTATTTTGAGGTCACAAATCGAAAATTTTATAAGTCACATATTTTTTTAGTCACAGATTATCAAATTTTAAGGTCATGGATCAAATCGTTAAGGTCACAGATTATTGTTTTAGTCAAGATTGTCAAATTTTAAAGTCACAGGTCAAATTGTTGAGGTCACAGAATATTGTTATAGTCACAGATGTCAAATTTTAAAGTCACAGACCAAATTTTATGGTCATCCCACCACTAGTGTCATCTAGCACCAATCTTGATCACAAAACACCACCACCTAATCGTCGCTTGTACCACACCCAATCCCGATCCAATTCCACTGCAACACTTGGTCACAAACACTATCAATCACCACTATTGCACCCCTATCACGACACAACAATCGGTCAACACCACAACACACTGCCTGAGCCACAACTGCACCACCGCACAGTACCACACCAATATTGCACGCACCCAACCACCGCACCACCACCTCCACCTCCACTACACACCTCACTGCACCATAG